CTATTACTGTTATTATTGCCATTATTATTACTATTATTACCATTGTTACTTTTATTATTACTATTATTATTATCATTATTATCACTATTATCATTATTATTACTATTATTATTATTATTCATAAGTCTGTTTGATATCCATGCTGAATTGTGGAGATTAACAGAATGTACTTAGACAATAAATGACTATATCCTTGCTTCAGAAATTTAACATTTTTTTTTAACATACTGTTTGTCAATGTTAATTTTCCATGACCGGAAACTGAGTAGCAGTAATGTCAAATATTGATAATAGTTGTGTTCCACTGTTATACTTCTCAGCATCCGATAAACCTGACCGGTTTTCAGCTTAATGCATACACATAGTCTCACGCAGTGATCGAAGCGGATTCTTCCAGAGCTAAATAACCTCTTGGGAAATCGGACACTGCAGCCTAGGATCGAAAGGCTTGGCATAACTGCGCTCAGCATGTGGAAGCATCCTAGTAACATCACTAGCAGGGGATGTACTGATAGCCCGAGCAGTCTTGATACATGTACTGCATGCAGCTTCTATGTGCTGCTAATCTTTAGCAGTGTTGAGAGAATCTGCAGCAAATCTGTTGCTGTTAAGTCTTGCGTACATTTTGAATATGTTATACAGTTTGATTGGTTATTCTTTTTTTTTTTTTTTTCAAAATCCGAATATTAATTGGGGCAAGTCTTTCAGGAAAACGGAGTCAGCAAGGCATTACTGTTGTATACGATGAAGCTGGAAATAGTTCTAAGGTACGAACCTGCTTTATTAGTTTAAACACTGCGCCTCTTTCATCGTTGTGTTTTTTTTTTTTTATATGAAATGGCTGGAAAAATTGAATTTCGGTGCCTTTCAACTCTTATTTCCTCACTGGCGTGGCATCAATGCACTTAGCATCTTACTCGGTTCCGAGCTCAGAAAGTGCTCGTAGCGTCCCAGGCATTTTAACGAACTTCGAACTGATGATCTATGCAATCGGCCGCGTTTTTAAGAAATAGCGGGGAGAAATATCAAATTTAATGTTCGACAGTTCTTCCTTTTTTTTAACCCCTTCATTCTTAAAAAGTTCTTACAGATTCAGTGATTTCAGCAGTTGATACCTCATATATTTACTGGGAAAAGGATGGGGGACGGAGGAGGGTGGGGAAGGTTCTTGAAATTTAGATTTTTATGCACTGGTAAGCTCACATGTAGACCACAATTTTTGGCAGATCTCCAGCTGCTGCAAATTATAGCATCTCTGTCTCCTCTCAAGCCCTGTAGTTGGGCAGTCTCAACTGATGCACTTACTTCATCGGATATCTTGGGGAGCAAAAAAAATCTGTATATTTTAGCCTAATAGTGAAACATTTAGTGCCGAGCATGTTGTGCCTGCCGCATTTTTTTTTTTTAAATTCCTGCTTATCGACATATCACATATGGATTTCCAGCTGTCACTTTTCCTTCTTCAGCTATCCTCATTTTTCCTGCCTCCCTTCTCGGTTTCTTATAATAGAAATATTAGCAGCGAGTGAAATAAGAAGTCAAAAACGGCGAGAGTACAACCAGAATAACTAGATGAGTAAATGAAGAAAGAATCTAAGGAATTGGTGAGGTTAACTTAGAAGAGCATAGAAGGGGAGCAAGATATAATGGTGAGAAATGTGTACAACTTAATGGAGAGAAACATTTCTTACCATCACAGTAATTCTATTAATTTACAAATGTTGTAATTCTCATCTCCTACCTTCCTTTTGATTTGCCATATTTTCTTATTCAGGCGAGTTGGTAATAGCGTTGTCTTAGGCCCGCGATTTCGGACT